TTTTTTTTTTAGTACAGGGTCTGTGGAGTACAGTCTACAGGGTCTCATTACATAGACCGAACTCATGATTCTCCTGTTTTCAGCCTCCCAAGTACTGGGTTTACAGGCGTGCACCACCACGCCCAGTCTCAGTCACCATCTCATCATGCCCTGCACTGGCATGGCATGCTGGGGATCGAACCCCAGCCATTGCAAGAACTTCATATTCTTGCTGGGTGAAGTAGTGCAAGCCTATAATCTCAACACTCTGAAGGCTGAGGCAGGAGAATCACTGCGAGTTTAAGGCCAGTCTCAGCTACCTGGTGAGTTCAGAGCCAGCCTGAACTATATAGTGAGACTCAGTCTTAAGAACAAAAAACAAAACCTTTATAGTCTATTATGTGGTATCCCCAGTCTTAAGTAATTGGGACCCTTAGCAGTGCAGCGAGGGTGCCTCTGTGGCATAAAGGACACAAACGATGGAAGCATTTAAGCTGGAGTTTTGATTCCAAACTGCTTTGAAGTTGCATGACCTTGCTTAGAGAAATTTAAATTGAGCTTCAAGTTCTTTAATTTTAAGAATGGATTTGCACTCTGACTGGGTTAGAGAATTGAAAGTATCAGTAATAGGAAGTTAGCACCGTTCTATTCCTTGAATGATAAACCATGGAGTCGCTTATCTCAGCATTTTCCTTCTTAATACATTAACTGAAAGCTACTTGTTTGTCCAGCTGCTAACCTACCTTGACAGGTGTCTCTGTTCTCAGCTCTTGAGCCCAGTGGGCCTCTAGGCAAGATGTCCCTGCCCATCGGGATGTGCCGCCGGGCATTCAGCTATGATGATGCCCTGCAGGACCCTGCACCCATGACTCCTCCTCCCTCGGACATGGGCAGCATCCCCTGGAAGCCAGTGATTCCAGAGCGCAAGTATCAGCACCTCGCCAAGGTACATGACGCTGCTTACTGCTTCTGGCAGACACAGCCCCTTCGCTCTCCCTGCTGTGCCCCAGAAGTCTTCAGTGGCTCCCTATGCCTGGAGAATTGGGCAACATCTACTCCGTGTGCTTTTCTGTGCCTCAGTTATAACAGAGGCTTTTTGCCAAATTCAAAACTGGAATGATGGAACCTTCTGTCCCAGGCTTTTCTCTACCTGTCTTTCTCTATTAAAAGTGCAAGCCCTGGAATAGGATCCAGGTTCTGCATGTCCAGCTCATTTGCCTCCCCCAGCTTCCCAACCCAGGGATCAAGCCAGCAAGTTACCTAGCATTATACACGCTTCAAAGGGTATTTTACACTCCCAGGTCTTTGCCTCACACTTCATATAAATGTTTGCCATTCCTATCCTGTTTGCTCTCCCTGTCCTTTACTGTTTGCCTAAAAATAATATCCTTTTTTTTGCTCACACATCTCTTATGCAAGATTTTTCTGATAACTCTGTTCTCCCAATAAGTCTTCCCTCCTCTCCCTTTGATTTCTCCTCTGTGCCCTGGTTCCCTTCATAAGCCCTCCATTATTTACCACCCTCGTTTGGCTTCTTGAGGCAGCAGCATGTCTAAGATCTGTGCGGCTTGAGTATCCCTTATCCTAAATCCTCGGGAGCAGCAGTGTTAGATTTTTTGCATATATCAGTACGATATCCTGGGGATGAGACTCAAGTCTAACCATGAAATTCATTTGTGTGTCATACCTATCTACACATCCTCAAGGTGGCTTTATACAATATAAATAGTTTGTGCATGGAATGAAGTTTCATGGTGTGGAACTGTCTTCGTGTGGCATCATGTTGGCATTTCAAAGTTTTGTATTTTGAAGTATTTAGATGCCTAATCTGTGTATTTTCTGCAGTAAGGGACATTATTCAGGAACACTTAGAATTTTAAAATAAAATAGACTTTAAAAAAGTTTAAGGGCCAGCCAAATACCTCAGTGAATTAAAGCTCCTGCAGGCACCTACAGGGGCGGAGGTTTGATCCCAGGGCTTGCTGTGCTGGCCCCGCCCCTGGGATGTTCTGAGAAGGCAGTTCAGACTGGGCGTGGTAGTGCACACCTGTAATCCCAGCTCTTGGGAGGCTAAATAGGTGGCTCACTATGAGTCTGATCTAGTAGTGAGACCCTGAACACCCTGTAGACCCTTCCATAGCTCAGTGGATGAAATTGGGGTTTGATCCCTGGGCCTGCTATGACGGCCCTGCCCCTGGGATGTGCTGAAATGGCAGTTGAGACTGGGCATGGTGGCGCGTGCCTCTAATCCCAGCTCTTGGGAGGCTGTAAGCAGGCGGATCACTATGAGTCCGATCTAGTAGTGAAACCCTGAACACCCTGTAGACCCTTCCCTAAAATACAAATAAATAAATAAATAATAGTTTAAAAGTAGATTTTTAAAAACACATATTTTGTGATAGGGCTGAACTGGCTGTGTCTTGTCCACGCCATGCTCTCTTCTGTGCTGTCCTCTACTGTAGGCCCCTTTGTCACTGCTGCCCCCTGGGACCCTGGGCTGCTCCCAACACTACTGATGTGTGGTTTGTCTGTAGCTTGCACATGGTTGTGGCAGTTTCGCTGCTGAGTCCTATGCTTCTCACATCTTTCTAATCACCAAGCGTCTTATTCCTCCCTAAAGAAACTAGGCCTGTCACAGTCTCAGTTAAGCCCATTTAACCTGCAACTGTGGTATCACCAAACTTGGAGCTGTGTGATAGGTTGGGGTGTGTTAGGGAGTTTGTAGTTGGTCTACTTAAGTACACCTTGCACACTGTGACCTTGGGCCTACAACTTCATACAGCACCACAGGTCTTAATTCCATCAGAAATAAGAATATTTTCTTGCTGGGTGTAGTGACACACGCCTATAACCCCAGGAGTTGGGGGGCTAAGGCAGGAGGATTGTTGCAAGTGAAACCAGCCTGGGCTAGAACATGAGCTCAAGGCCAGCCTGAACTGCATAGTAAGAGCTTGCCTCAAAAAGATGAAAAAAAAAAAAAAAAAAATCTGACAGAGGTGAGGTATTATGGGGTTTAAATAAAAGAGGATTTAGGGGCTGGGGAGATAGCTTGGTAGAATAAGTGCTTGCTTGGCAAGCACAAGGGCCTGAGTTCAATCCCCTTTTCTGCCCAAAAAAAAAAAAAAAAAAAAGTATTTAACACATTCCTTGAATCACCAGTAGTATATGTATGACTGTCCCATCTGGTGGCTTGTACCACTTATGGTACATATTGATCTAACCACTTTATTGATTATTTACTAATAAAATTAATAGAAAGCTGCCTAATGGGAAAGTCCTACATGTACCACAGGTGGCTTGAGCTGCCCAGCTGGGAGATGTACAAATTACAGCTCCATCATGAACGTGTTAAAGGCTTGGCACAAATTATGTGTGTAGCTAGCTAGCTATTGGCTCTTAGCCTAACTGTTCACTTAGTACAGCCAAATTTAGTTCTTTTTTAAAAAAAGTTATTTTTGTCCTCCCATTATGCTCGTAGAACAAGGAGCTCTTTTCCTTTCTAAGAAAGTGTCCTAAAAAAAAAAAAAAAATGTCCTTTACAACTCTGAAGAAAACATGTCAGTAAGTTATAGGAATCTGACCCACTTGGTTATTCAGGAGAAAACATTCTGTGTAAAAAAAAAAGTACTAGGCAAGAAGGACCTAGCAGCCTGTGTGTGATGTAGAAGCAGTGCTTGCGGGCTCAGGGCCAGGGCAGGAGACAAGTAGGTTTGCTGAGGTTGCCTGTGGGGGTAGCACTCCCTCTGTGTGTGAGCGCTGCAGCTACTGCACCAGGCAGAGTCTGGTTGCCTCAGCTGGAACAGCTGGCCATTTGGAATACCTGCTGTCAAAGAACTCAGCCACACTGAAAGCGTGCATTCTTTTATCAACCCTAACTATCCTCATTAAGGCATCAGCTGTGTTCCAAAAAAGGAAACAGGTTCAAGTTTTGCTTGGAAAAGGCCCTAACTGAAAAGCACAGATCGTATCTTGTGATAGACATAGCTGTTCCAGTATTTTCTTCTGCATCTTTTTGACCGCTTTTCCCTCTTGGTGCCTTTGAAGAAGCAGCTGGACATCAGGTGTCCAAGTGTTTAGATCAGTGGAGGCTTCAGCTCTTGCACACAGAGGATTAGGAGCTATGCAGAATTTTGTTTTAAAAGACCATCACTTGAAATTTGGAGCCCTGGTCCTCAAGCAATGTGTTGGCACCAGAAGCATCACGATTACTTGGGAATTAGTTATGTATACATGTTTATATGTGCATGTGCTCCTGTGTGTGTGTGTGCACACGTGTGTGTGGTGGGGATTGGTGGGGATGGGGCTAAGGACCTTGTGCACGCTAAGCAAGTGCTGTGCTGCTGAGCTATATTAATTCATGAACCCCAGGGGCTGGGGAGATAGCTCAGCTGCAAGGGTCTGAGTTCAATCCCCAATTCCACCGAAAGAGAGAGAGACAGAGAGAGAGAGAGAGAGAGAGAGAGAGAGAGAGAGAGAGAGAGAGAGAGAGGAAGAAATTAATTAATTCATGAGCCCCAGTCCAGACCTATCCAGTCAAAACCTCTGGGGCCAGCAGTAACTTAAACAAGTGTCCTGGTGATGCTGATGCTCTGCAAAGCTGAGAACCACCTTGCGATAAAGTAAGCCTTATTGTCTGGTATCATTTGGGCAGCGCTTTGTATTAGGTGTTTCTTCTGCATTCTTTTTTTTTTTTTTTTTTTTTTTTTTTGTGGAACCGGGGATTGAACTCAGGTCCTTGTGCTTGCCAGGGAAGCGCTATTCCACTAAGCCATCTCCCTGGCCCCTCTTCTGCATTCTTATGGGCAGAGAATTAGAATATATTGGACAGACAACTGAGGAAGGTAGTAAATCTCAGAGCTTCAAATTCTGACTTTCTTCTTACGAACTCAAGCATCACTGTATCTGTATCTCGTTACTGTGGTTAATATAACACCTACCTAACTGGGATGAGGTGACCACTGTTCCCTTTAAATAGTTCCTCACTTCTCAGATTAAATATACTGCAGGAACTTTTTTTTTTTTTTTTTTTTCTTTTTTTTGCAGAACCAGGGATTGAACTCAGGCCCTTGCGTTTGCCAGGCAAGCACTTATTCTACTGAGCAATCTCCCTGGCCCCAAGGAACTTATTTTTAAAAAGAGTAGGTTTAGATATGTGGCTTCCCTGTTCTGCCCCAGTGCTGGTGCTGTCTTACCTCTCTTAAACAGGCGGAGGAAGAAGAAGCCAGTGTACCCCCCACAGCCATGACCCTGGCCAGGGCCACGGCCACTGACAGCATGGATAAGGTCCCGGTGGTGAAGGCCAAAGCTACCCATGTCATCATGAGTTCTCTGATCACAAGTAAGCACCTTCCATTGTCAGAGCAGAGTGAAGCAGTTGAGTGCATCTACAGCCCAGCTGCAGGTGCTCTGCAAACAGTGGCGGTACCAGTGTTGGTGTTGAAACTCGATGTAGGTGGAAGTTTGGCAAACGTTTTTGTGTTTTTGAGACAGGGTCTTGCTATGCAGTTCAGGCTGGCCTTGCACTGTTTTTGTAGCCCAGGCTGGTCTCCAACTTGCAATGATCCTCTTGCCTCAGACTCTGTGAGTGCTGGGATTACAGGTGTGCGCCACTATGCCTGGCACACAGCATAAGGTACTGGGATTGAGCAGGCAGGCACTTAGACTGCCGAGCTATCTCCCCAGCCCCTGGTTTGCTGCACATTAAGCAGCTTAATTGACTGAAGTGCATTCCTGCTGGATTGTTGGTATGGAGTCATTTCCCACGTTGACCAGTGTGGTCTTGGGCAAGTTCCTTAGCTGTAGCTTGGGGGATCGAGCTGGGGGGTTAAGGTTGAGTTGAGCCCTTGGAGGATAGGAGGAACTGCTGTGCCACCCAAGCTGTGCTGGAGAAAGCAACACACTGAAGTATCTTGCCTTGTATTTTTAAAAATCTCTTATAACAAGTTAACTGAACTTCCTTCTAGAGGACCGTTCTAATTGCCATGAGAAGTTAATAGTTAATAGTTCAGAGCCACCCAGACAGTGAGAGGTATGAATTATGGTCTCATTGCGAGTGGGTTAGGGGTGTGTGATTACTGGGTATGGTGGCACATGCTTGTAATCCCAGCATTTGAGAGGCTGAGGCAGGAGGATCTCTGAGTTTGAGGCCAGCTTGGGCTACATAGTGAGTTCAAGACCAGCTTAAATGACAAAGTGAGACCATCTCAAAAACAAAAAGTTTGATTTTTGCCTGACAAAAGAGAGCTCGTATTTTATTTTTATTTATTTATTTATTTATTTATTTATTTATTTATTTATTGGCAGAACTGGGCATTGAACTCAGGCCCTTGTACTTGCCAGGAAAGCGTTTATTCTACTGAGCTATCTCCCTTGCCTGAGAGCTCGTATTTTAAAAAATCTTTTATAACAAGTTAACTGAGCTTCCTTCTGGAGGACCATTCTAATTGCCATGAGAAGTTAACAGTTATTAGGTACACAACTCTGCTTGTCAGCAGTCATGTCCCTACTGGGACATTACTTAGAGGTTCTCCATGGTTAGCTCATTTTTGAAGTCAAAGACTTTTTTTCTCCAGGAAGGCGTCCGTTTGTCTTGGGTGATTTATGGAGAGTTTGTCCAGGAACCAAATGTCCAAAGTTTTACTTTAGTTTTCACATCTTTAGACATAAATGTACCATTTGAATCAGCAACTACTACTTTTTTTTTTTTTTTTTTGCGGAACTGGGGATTGAACTCAGGCCCTTGCGCTTGCCAGGGAAGCAATTATTCCACTGAGCCATCTCCCAGGCCCCTACTACTTGTATTTTGCAAGGTAGAGAATATTTTATTTTTTAATGTTTTGGTACCAGAAATTGAACTCAGGACCTTGTGCTTGCCAGGCAGTTGCTATACCACTGGGCTATAACCCTGGCCCCTTGAGAATGTTTTAGAAAACTTAGTTTTTGTTGTTTTTTTTTAGCATAGTGCAACTTTATTGAAATACAGTTTACCAACAGGCTAGATGATAATACTCCAGTGTACCAGTGCCATGCAGATACTTATTTGGCATACTCATTCCTATGTTTTTGCATTTTTTACCTCATTATAGTAGGTAACAGTAGACAAAGCATTCTATTTCCTTTTTTAATAATGTCAGGAGGTTTGATTTTTTTTTTTTTTTTTTTTTTTTTTGGCGGAACCGGGGATTGAATTCAGGACCTTGTGCTTGCCAGGTAAGCACTTACTCTACTGAGCTATCTCCCTAGTCCCCAAGGTTTGATTTTGTTAAAAGCATAATTTTTTTTTTTTTTTTAAACATCTGCTTTTAAAGTCCTGGTGTTGGTGTACCATAATTCATTATAGTTCTACTTTTTAGATTTTCAGGTGATTGATGAAGTTGGAAACTTTTGTCTTTTTTTTTTTTTTTTTTTCCTGGAATCAGGGATTGAACTCAGGCCCTTGCCAGGGAAGCATTTATTCCACTGAGCCATCTCCCCGGCCCTGTCTTTTATTTTTGAGACAGAATCTTGCTATGTAGTCCAAGCTGGGCTTGAATTTGCTGTGTAGCCCACGGTGGCCTGGGCCTTAGAATCCTTCTGCCTCAGCTTTCTGAGTGTTTGGACTCCAGGCATGTCATGATGCCCAGCCAGAAAACATCTGTGTGTGTGTGTGTGTTTCATTGCTTCTATTTCTGACAGAGGTACTTCTTTATTTTTATTTTTTTTATGAGCAGAATGTATTTATTGAGAGAAAGAAAGCTCCTGTAAAAGAGAGGGACAGGAGGGGGGGCCCGAGCGGGTAGTTCCCCCAGAGGTACTTCTTTAGAAGGGCAAGACTTAAGTCATGAAGTACACCTGGTGTTTATGCCACGCTCCTATATTTACACGTATATTATGTAATCTGTGGACAGATTAAGCCAAAATTCAGCCATCATTCATTCCATAGTGCAACAGATGTGTGAAATAATTGGGTCAGACTAAATAAATGTTGTCAGTCTTCTGGGCCAGGCATTATTATGACAGACCATCTAACTTGTAAGAAACTCGGGATCAATTCAAAGCAAGTTGTCTGGGTTTGAATTTAGATGATACCTTGGAACCAGTTGGCCTGAATGTGACTTATTTCCCTATGGCAAAGGCTTTTGGGTAGATGTTGAGGGTGTTTAATAGCTCTTTGTATTTGGAGTTCTTCTATGTCTGGGTATCAGCTCCCTCCATGCTGCATTTCTCAAGGCAAAGCTGTCACAGAGTGTGCAAGTAAGAGGGAGGCAAGCGGCTTCCTCAGCTGTCTGGTAGCTGGGTGTGAGGGAGGGCCCCCTTCGGTTCAGGGCACCTCTGTGTGAGGTTCAGCAGCAGCACTTTGGCTCCTGTCTGCGGGAACCCTCCTCTGCAAACTGTTATGCTCTCTGGCTGGCTTCTGATGGGTTAGCAGGCTGGGCATGACTGTTGACTCCTCCATTTCCAGAACAGACCCAGGAGAGCATTCATCGTTTCGAGCAACAGGCAGGACTGAGAGATGCTGGCTACACACCGCACAAGGGCCTCACTACTGAGGAGACCAAGTACCTTCGAGTGGCAGAAGCACTCCACGTGAGCTGGTTTCGTAGGAATTTTAAAGAGGCCAAACCCTCTCTTTCATGGCTTGAGATATGAGTGGCAGCTGGGTGGCAGCTGTGGAGAGTGGTGGAGAACTGGGCAAGGGGATTTGGATCTGTTAGTCTGGCCTCTGCTGGCACCCTGGCTGGGGCTGCAGAGCCTGATAGGATATGTGTTTTACTTATATCTGAGCCATAAAGGAGTGTGGATTAGTTTTTGTGCCACAGTGACTGACTTTGAGGCAGAAAGAGAAAATTGGGCCATTTCAGTGGAGTTAACATTTCAGTTGGACAGCAACATCATGCTCTGTGTTCAATTTTTTTTTTCCTGTGTTCAATTTTTAAGAAGTTAAAAGCCAATGTAGAACTGGAATGGTTTTGTTCTTTCACTTCAAAAATTGAAATAAAAGGGCCAGCTGGATAGCTCAGCAGACTAAAGCACCTGCTTAGGCAGAGTCCAGTGGCTGGGGTTAGATCCCCAGTGTGCTATGCTAGGCCCATCCCCGGGGCCCACTGAGACAGCGTTTGAGACTGTGTGGTGGCATGTGCCTGTAATCCCAATACTTGGAAAGTTGAAAACAGGAGAATCACTATTAGTCCAATCTATGTAGTGAGACCCTGTAGCCCCTGTACTAAATACATGAAAAAAAAAAAAAAAAAGAAAGAAACTGAATAAAGAGCTGGGTGCAGTGGTGCATGCCTATAATCGCAGCACTTGCTGAGGGAGCAAGTTTGAGACCAGCCTGTGCTACAGGTGAGCACAAAGCCAGCCTGAATTTCACAGTGAAACCCTGTCTCAAAAAGACTGACCCCCCCAAAAAAAAAGTAGTAATAATTTTAGTAAGGGTTATGGCAAATAATAAAATAATTTCAAATGACTTTTATTGAGTCCTGGCTTTATACTGAATGGGCACTTCATGATTTAGGAAGTCCTTGCATTTTCTTTCTTTTTCTTTTTTTTTTTTTTTTTGTGGTACCAGGGATTGTACTCAGGACCTTGCACTTGCCAGGCAAGCGCTTATTCAACTGAGCTATCTCCCCGGCCCCTCCTTGCATTTTCTTAATCACTAGTTTTTATTCTTTTTGTAAATGAAGAACATGAGACCCAAGGTTGCATATTCAGCTAGTCACAGTACCTCAGCTCAAGTCTTCTGATGCCATATTTCCTGGGCGTTTTTTTTCCCCCCTCTTTATTCCAAAGTAGTCTGAGAGTCTGTGTCCTGAAGAGGCTCAGATTATTCTGGAAGGGAGGGCAGAGCCAAGTTGTAAAAGGGCAAACATAGAGCTAGGAAAGTCCAACTGCCTCCTGTGAGCAAGGGTGGGTCATAGTCCAGTCATGCTTCAGCTTTATCTGAGAAGACCTCAGCAGGGCATGACAAGGGCCTTTGGGTATAGGGAGAAGTGCACAAAAGGCAGGAAAGGATCATGGTGTGCAGTGCACATGGGAGGGGGAGTAACGTGGCTCTGGTTGCCTGTGCTGAGAGCTGTGAGGTATTGTAGACTAGTTGCACTGTGTTGTAGGCATTCTGGACACTTCTTTTATAAGCTGAGCTTAAAAGCCATGTTGTACAGAAATCAATGTTGGGCTGGTGGCCAGTTTAAGGTCTTAGACAAGACAGATGCTTCCAGAGAGTGGCCCTGTCAATGTTTGATACCCTGCTACCTTCCAGGACAGGTGTCAAAATTTCATTTGAACAATTCCTCTTGTGTAGTGCTAGAATTGATTTTGGTTGGCCGACCTGTGTTCTACATCCTGGCCATTGGGTAGAACATAAGGAGGACTGAAAAGATACGATACTACTCCCATCTTGTGACAGGCAGTCAACTTACACAAAATGATATGCTGAAAAAAAAAAAATGATATGCTGAGTGAGAATGTAGCTTGGGCTGAGCAGTGGCATACCACCCACTTCTGTGGATTGGGACACTAGAACTTTGACCCAGAACTGAGAAGTAGTTCAGCAGTAGCAGTGCTAGTCTGAGGGCTAGCGAGATAGCTCAGTGGACTAAGCACCTGCTTAGTCAAGTAAAGGGACTAGGGTTCGATCTTGTCTTAGTTACTCTTCTCTTGTTGCTGAGACAAATAGCTGACACTCAAAATGAAGGAAAGAAAGGTTTATTTAGCTCAGTTTGTGGAGGTTTCACTTCATACTCTGCTGGCTCCAACGCAAACAGCAGCAATTCATGGCGGCAAAAAACAATGAAGAGCAGAGGAGGAGCAACAGCTGTGGTGTCCATCAAGCCTCTCTCTTCCTTCTATGCTGACTGTGAAGACCAGTGGCGTGGCTGTGAAGATCAAGCTCCTCTGAAGACTGAGACTTCTCCAGGGAAGTGGGGCAGGGCAGCCAGGAAGCCTTCCTCAACACCTTTATATACACTTTTTGTACTGAGTTACTCTGGGGCGGCCCATGGCCCTAGGATATAACCAATCACACTCCAGGGCGGGCCCAATCATGCTCAGATCCCCAGTACCTCATGCCCTGCCAGCCCCAGCCCCAGCCCCATCCCAGGTGTGCTGAGCTGGCCACTGAGTGGGTGCTGTGGAGGCTGAAAACAGGAGGATCACTTGGAGTCCAAGCTGTGTAGTGAGACTCTACCAAATACATTAAACAACAAAAAGAATTGCTAGTCTGTTGGAGATACATTCATTTAGAATGCTATGGACACCCAGCGTGGCTGCTAATGGGAGAGAAGAGAAAGAATGGGGTGGGCTCCACAGAATCACTGAGCTAAGGAGGAATAACAAGGCTGAGTCTTGGCTTTGAGAATTTAGGAAAGGTACTTTACACATGGTAGTGAGAGGAGAGTGCGGGGCCTGCTTAGAGGCCAACAAGACCTGAATCTTGACTTATGGCTCCCCTCCCTACTGCCTGGGCGCTTGCGGGAAAATTATTTCACGTTAGAAGTTCTGGCACACAGCTTTTTAGTGTAGTTTTTGAGATGTTATATAGACTTTAGTATAATTCTTTAAAAAGATGGAACTTCACCAAACAAACGTGGCGCAAGGGAGCATGTATTTTATAGTTCAAAACCATTCTATCTCTGAATGTTTTTTCTTGTTCTGAAATTAAAATGTAAGGCAGAGGTTTATGCCCAGACTTAGCTGTTTCGTGGTTTGTATGGGTTTGCTGTGATTTTGAAAGTCTTCTTGCCCATTTGAACAGAAACTAAAACTGCAGAGTGGAGAGATGACAAAAGAAGAGAAGCAGCCTGCCTCAAGCCAGTCCAGCCCAAGCAGTACTCCTCATTCTTCCCCAAAGCAGAAGTCCAGGTGAGAACTTCCCCAGACCCTCCTGAGTGTCAGTGTGCCTCAGAAAGTCATGCTTGGATGCTGTGTCGTTTAAGCTGACCTTTCAGAGCAGAGGCTCAATTCCCAGTTCCTGTGCTCCTTGGAGTGAGCCACTTCTAGAGGGCAAGAAGACACATTGGATTATGCTTTATTCTCTTCTAGGGGCTGGTTCATTTCTGGTTCTTCCACAGCCTTAACTGGCCCAAATCCTAGCACCATGGATCCTGGAAGTGAGGACAAGGATAGAACCTCATTAGATAAATGGAATGTGTTTGGACCAAGACCCCTCCAGAAGTCTGATTCTGG